AAAGAAATAAGTTAAAGATATGCCAGCTTAAAAGTCAATAGTTTCTTATCTTTAAGTATGTGCTCAAATGTGCTTTACAGTCACAGACCACGCTCACAAGCAAACATCTCAATTTATACAAACGCTGTCCTGAGATGGGATGAGAGGGAAATATGGCAGAGTTATCTTTTAATTTTTTTAAAAAAATTGTGATTTATTATTTTACATCAATTTCTGAGTATGATATCATATTATATATAAATTTGTTGAGTGTTACTAATGAATGATTTGAATTTAAATATTTTGAACTAATAATTTAAACTTAATAAATCATTAAGACTAATAACTCTCGAGTTAGATATGAATATGAATTTATAACTTAAAATAAAAATGTTAAGTATTTAAATGAATGAAATTATGATATCTCAACATACATAAATTTTTAAGTATAATATCATATCATATATATAGTTCTTGAATTGTTATAAGATTTACATATATATTGACTTCAATTATATTTCTAAATCTTATTTTAACAAATTTGAGAAATAATTGAATAAATTTGAACAAAAAATAAGTAATGCTGCCGTAATTCAAAGTAAGTGAACGAAGGAAAACTAAAGTAAGGATAAACCTCCTGCCTCAACTAATATCTATAAAAAAAACACAGCTCATCACCTACTGTAAATAAACATCACCTGCTTTTATTTATTTATTTCTTTGTTTAATCCTTTATTGGGACTTGTGCGCTTCTTTCCTGCCCACAATGTAATTTATATACCTAGATCGTATAAAATATAACTTTTACCACTGCGCAAATAAAATAAAATATTAGTAAAATATAAAACAAATTATTGCCATTATAGGGATACAAACAGGCCATAATTAGTGTTTGTTTTATGTTAATTATACACTTCACTCATTTGTACAAGCTGTATGGTATTGTACGTATAGCATGGATGTATGATGGTTGATTTCATTTAAAATTTTATACATTCCATCTCTCTACGAAACATGAAACTTAAAAAAAAAAATCATAATAATTTCAAAATAAACCCTAAAAAAAGTTGATTTAAATGTAAGTTGGATGTTTTAATAATTCACCTAACACCACATACCGGATACATAATCTCGCCCATTTATGATGGATTCAGTTTTGATAATTATTTTTGACAGGACATTTTGAAAGGAACTGAGTTTAAATTTATTTTAGATTAGATTTTCCAATGTGTTAAACAGTAATGAGTTTAGTGTTTTATCTTTATGACTGTGTGCTATCTTTGAAGAGAACCAACAAGTGAATCTGGGGGATCAATTATACAGGAGGTCAGTTGAAGAAGAGGGAAGGGAAGACAAAGGACGGCCACCATCCCGGAATGATAAGTGAATAATTGAGTCAGTACAAAAAAACATGGAGGGAAGAATGCCAATTTACTGAAAGAAGGTTTCAAAGAAATGCTGAAAAAGAAGGGCAGGAACAGATGGCCATCTAGTGATGGCCTCTGCTCATGTGTTGATGAAATGTCTATGTCATAATTCACAGGTCCATTGAAAAAAAGGTGAACAAAGCATATTTGTGCATGGCCATTTACTTGCAATGGGAAGAAAACAAACCATCTGCTTCTTTCCATGTGATCTCACTGGGCTGAGGTGGGGACTAGCCCACCTTTAATTTCCACTTTTTGGTAGTTATTCATTTATGGGGGGAGAATATCTATCTTCCTTTTGAAATACTAGATTGTTTGTTTTTTTTGTAATTTTTCATGATTTAGCTTTAAAAAAAATTGTTAAGAAAGCCCATACCTCTACAATGTGAGGACTTGTGGATGTGAACATCCATAACTTTTCAATGAAAGTAGTTGCAGGCCAAAAATCCACTTGAGAGATATTGAACTTTTTTTCTTCTTTTGATTATTTTTGCAGTTGCAAGGTGATTCATAAAAGAAATGCTAGGTTAACAAGAATTGAAAGTCTTTAGAGATTAATAACTTGATTTGAAATAAAAATTCAATTTCGATGTGGGAGGGTATGAGGTATGAAGTATCATTACTAATCTAACGTGCTTGTTAAACTATTCATCGTAACAACTTGTCAAATTTAAACTATTAGCTCAAAATATTTGTAACTTATTACTCTAGTTGAACAAATTATTAAGATTGATAATCCTCTCATTGTCACAAATAGTTTTAGGTACACACTCCTAGATGGGTTGGTCTAGAAACAAATTAAGCGAGTAAAAGTAAATAGTTTAAGATGGATTTGTCATCCTAATCTGCAAGTGAAAGGAAAGTGGAAAATTTCATATAGGTTGTTGGTAGAAGATTTGAGACTAAGTTATTTTCATAATAAGAACGATCTACTATACTATGTCAAAAAAGAGAGAAAATATTTCTAAATTTAAAATTAATGAAAGCCTCAAAGGTTTGAGAAAGAGGGGTTATGATACCCTATCTCATATTAGAAACGATATATTATGATTTACATTATTTTTCTATTGCAAAAAACAAAACCAAATATAAAATAACACATTATAAAATATTCTGATATCAAAGTTTTTTTTTTAATGTAAATAAAATATGCGTTATCCAATTGGTGAAATAAAGTCATCCTAATCTACCTGTGATGGAACTGTAATTATATCATGTCACCTACGACAATGATTAGTATTTTACCTATTTAATATTACATTGATAGGAGATCACTACTAAAAAAATTGTCTAATGTAATTAATTTATTGTACCATCTCTTGTAATGACATGTTATAATAGTGTTATATATATACACATCCACACACACTACAAAAATGATTTACTGTAATGAGTTAATTTGGTTTGAAAAGTGGGAATGTCATGGAAATCAACAAAAGTGATTGAAAGGAGGGCCCTCAGTTTAGTGCCATCCACTACCGGAGTACAATTTTTGAACCGTCCAAACTTCCGCAAGTAAACAGTGCGGACATAGACACTCCATTGTTGCCTACATATGGTGAGCATGACTATCTTCTGAAGTTCAAGTTGCTGTTTGGCTGGTCATCATACCATTCCCGGAAGAAAGAGGTGGTAAGAATTAAAGATGGAGATGAAAGGAGAGAAGCGCAGCAGCAGGCCGAAGAAAGGTTTGTGGAAACCGGAAGAGGACATGATCCTCAGAAATTATGTCCAAACTCATGGTGAAGGAAAATGGGCATCTGTTTCGCAAAACTCTGGTAAATTAGTTTTAACAAATCAAATAAATTCTTCCCCTCCTCTTCTAAGTTCTAATCAATTCTAATGACTCTCTCTCTGATCAGGTTTGAAGAGAGGAGGAAAAAGCTGCAGGTTGAGATGGAAAAATTATCTGAGACCAACATCAAGAGGGGCAAAATGTCTGATGAGGAGAAAGACCTCATCATCAGATTGCATAAGCTTCTCGGCAACCGGTACCTTTCACAACTTAGTTTGCTGCACTGTTTACATATTTTCTTATTCATGGATTAACACCAAGATCCAGCAATGTTTAGCTTGTATTAATTGCATTTCATACTGCATATTTTCAAAAGGATTTTTTTTTAATAATATTAAATTAGGGACACTTCCTTTCTCCCTCCCGAGGTTCATCACCACTTGAACCAATTAGGGCTATAAATGAGTCGGATTTGAGATCATTTTAGATCAGATCTAAAACTGATAGTAATATGCCGTATCTAAATTCGACTTCAAATTTTATAAGATATGTTCTTAATATTACTATATTCAAATCCATAAGATATGTTCTTAATATTACTATATTCAAATCCAGATAAAATCTGATATTCAAATCAATAATCCAAATCTAAATTTTTAAATTATTAAACATTTATTACTATACACTATAAAAAATATAATTCAAAACCAAAATAATAAATTCTTAAAAATATGATCTAATAAATAATTTTGGAGTTTGAAAGATTAATATAATATAATAATATTTCATCCACCACAAATATAGTGTTTGAGACTAACTTACTAATAATATATAATAATTACATTTAATCCATAAATATATATATTCCATTTCCTTTTTTATAAAAAATATATGTTTTTTATTTCTATTTTTAATTTATTAATCAAAGCCTAATAAAATAAGTTTATATTGTGATATATAAAATATTATATGAAAATATATATTTTATATAAATAATATAGACATATGTATATAAACACACACATATATATGTTATTTAGATTTAGATTTTTAATAGATTAAATTAAGAAAAATCCATATTCTCTTTATTTATTTTGAATTACAAACTTTATTAATAAGATCATGTTAGTTAAAAACCTAAATAAACAAATTAAATTCAAATCAGTTTAGATTAAAATCTATTTTTTTGACATCCAGTAGCCAATTAGCATTTGATAATTTTTTGTAGTGTCAATGGGGATTGGTTGTTGTTTCCATGCATTATAACTAACCTAATGAAAAATCATGAACAAAATGTACATATATTTTCTTTGATTATCCTGAGATAAACTCATTTTACAAAACTAACGTCTTTAAATATGATCATTTTCACATTTTGAAGGAATCACGAACATGTTTGTGAATTGTAATGCGACTTGATATATATATGTAATATCTCATGAACCATGATCAACTTCTAATTGCTTGGATGTACAAGGAAAATTGAAACTAAGCTCTATCCTCTTTCCCTACTGGGAGAATTATTTTTTACTGGAAAATAAATGAAGAATCTAAGCCGAAGTGGTATATCTCGTCATGTTCTTCTAAAGGTTATGACTTCAACTCCTCCTCCTCCTTCCTATATAACCAAAAATTAAATAAATAAATTGGCAAGTTACAAGGCTTCGACATCTAAAATATGAAAATTCAAAATCGTGCGCAAGCTACTCAAAATTCAAAATAGTAAGTTCCTTTTTTTATAAATTTTGTTCTGCTACTAAGACTTTTATTTTATTCTCTCTCTCTCTCTCTCTCTCATAATCAAAATGTTCTGTTACTGAGTTTGGCAAGGTGTTCTGGTGCATATAATGAATAGGTGGTCACTCATTGCTGGTAGACTGCCTGGTCGAACCGACAATGAGGTGAAGAACTACTGGAATACCCATTTGAACAAGAAGGCCATCTCTCCCTCTCGCTGTAAACGCACTTGCAATAACAGGCAACTCCAGTTGCCTTTGCCTACCCCTCCATCCACCACTACAACAGCCACTGAAACCAACAACCCTCAGACACAATCACTCCATTCTCAGTCCCATAGCACAAAAGAAGAAAATAATACCCTACCTATTACTTCTGGGATCCCAGACCCCGAAATCCCCAGCTTTAATGTTGAGCCTCCGTTCTTGCCGCCTGCTTTCCATCAACAATTCTTCAATGATGAAGAAGGGCCTGTGGGTTCCTTGTCCTTGTTTGAAGCATTTCAGATCAGTAGAGATGAGACCTACTGGCTGGATTTTGAAGACCTGCTTGTGCCACCTTTTTCTGCTGCATGATTAAAATGTTCCATTTCAATTAGGTAATATCTAAATACTCTTGTATGCCACATGGCTATGATTTTCCAAGTCAAACGTCACCTGTGTGAGTGAGTGTAACCATGAGCAAGTTCGTGAGTAGAGTACAATATATATATATATATATATATATTATATTCCCAATCCACCAAATAAACGAAAGAAAAAAGGATAATAATTAATGGAAAGAATTTCTTCGGTTATATCACATCCGGCTGCCTGCAAAAACTAAAGATAGAAATAAAAAAGCGTTAGGATCTGCATATTGAACCCTTTAGCAGGAGAGTAAGTGTAAAGCAGACAATGATGAACGCAGACAACAAAGCATCCGTTTTAACACAGGAACGAAGTGAAAGCTCCATTATAACAAGGATGCATCATATGGTGTCATGCAGACTGCAGAGCACCATACAATTCCAAGATGTTGCAAGTCAAACCTCACCATGGTGAATCTCTGTCTCTAGCAATGGCGTGATCAATTCCATATCATAAATCACGGCTCTGGACACACAAAAAGAGATGGCACTCATGCATAAAGTAAAGGCAGCAAACATTGCCATTGCTAGCACAAGTGAAATGATAGGCATGTGATTGCAATAAAATCTTCCATTAGAAAATATCAATCAACATAAAGAATTTATTAAGAAATTTTGTACCATATGAAACACAATAGGAAATGATCCCAAAAATGAAAGCACCATGTTTACAATATGTCATCGTCATCTTGCTGAGGGTATAATGAGCTGTCTTCAGTGGGCAGTGAAGGTGGAGTTCCAGGAGGAATGCAAGCCGCTCCATTCTCCCCAGCACATATGCACAAAGCCTCTGCATCCCTAAGAACCCCATCAAGGTCTATGTGACCACTAAGCTCATTTATAAACTTCAGCAGTGTGTCAAAATCCATTTGCTCCCCCATTATCTTGTGGCGGTGTCTCTTTAGGACAGCCACACACACATACAAGTGCAAGTGCTCAGATAAGTAATGAGTCCAAAGCACTTCCCACAACCGCATTGTTCTTTCAAATTCAAATTCCCTGAGAAACACAAGCCAAGAATGATATAACTATGAGCAAATGGAAGCACACCAGAAAAAATTTGAGGATTATATTCCTTGCACTGCAAGTGTAAGAGATCAAAATTGAATTAATAAACAGTTTTTGAGAACTCCCATAATCATTGTTAAACTATTGATAATATGCACAGGCAACCACAGGAGAATTAAATGAATTTACGTTTACATTTAGCTTTTTTCCTGGACATCAGCGCTACAACTGTGGATTACCAGAGAGCTGAATTCTCAGAAAAGACTCTAAAATCAAAAGAAAATTACTTACCACCCTCTTTACAACCCTATTCACAGCCCTCCATCACCACCTAACCTGAAAAGGGAGTAGTGGGAATGGGAAATCTGGCCTTAAATTTAAGTCTCTTCTTCTAATATGAAAACCCCATAGCCACTGCATTATCATTGATTTCTTTTCTTTTTCTTATCAGATTTCAACAAATGCCACACCCATTACTTCAACCCTTCTGCCTTCTATTTTCCTTGCTCAGATTAAAAACACATAGGGACTTTTCTGAATTGGTGGACTTATCTCTGTACATAAGTTACAAAAGATGCCAAAATAACAAAGCACCAAGACTTTCCATAAAGTAGGAAGATCAATCTAGTATATAATTTCCTTCATATGGCCAAACTAATAAACAGTATGCAATGTCAATACAATGATAAAAATATATATACAAAAACATGTTACAGTGAGTGCAAGAAGAATATAAAGTTACTGGTTACTTGCCTTTTAAACTGTATGAGAACCCATCGGAAGCAAAAGAAATAGTTTAAGCAGTCGTTCTGCTTAAAAAAAATTATGCAATGGATTGTCTAACAGCTCCACTAGCTGTCAAAAGACAGAAATTACGTTAGAAATGTACAGGCAGAAAATCTAGAGGCTGAACTAAATACCAATGGTTCCGATTCATTTGAGAGATCCAACATCAATCACACTTAAGAAAGCAGCAATTAATGGCAGATAATGACAACTATATATATTGAACTTGCAATTAGAAACTGATCCCCTTTCTCCGCCTTCTACTGGCTAAAAAAAAAAAAAATTAACATAGAATCACAATTTTAAACAATAAAACAATAAATGCATATAACAGATTATCCTTCATTCACCCAGTGTCTCCTATTCAGATAGATTCTTCCTGCAGCATAGATATTCTTTCTCCCACTAGAAACCATAGGAACATTAAACAGGTCACTGAAACTCTGGTGGCTAACTGTGCACTTCAGATTCTCTTGGGCACATAATAATTTATGGCCTTAATTCTCCTATGCTCCAAGAAAATCATCTTCCCCAACATAGAAGATGCTCTCAGAAAAAGAATAATAAATGACAGAATTGAGTGCTTCTGACATTTGGATCGGTGGCCTTACCAGCAATTTATACCCCCATCCATTTCATTTCTCAGGGGAAAATAACAACATATACAAAAACAAAACAATCAGCTCCCATAGTAGAACAGAGACAACCTATTTAACATAAGTCACTCAGTCTTTCTAACATAACAAAAAGTCTGTTTCCTCCACTCTGGTGTTACATTCCTCAATTGTAATTACTTGCAATATAGAAACAATGGAAGATACATCTATACAGCAATTTTTGCATATAATTTAAGAAATTTGATAAAATAAATTAAACTGCAAGTACGAACACATTGTTAGAAATTCCAGTAGATTCTGCTTGAAAACACAGGACACAAGCAGGGAGGGAGATGCAGAAGGGGGTGGAGAGAGAGTCAGACCTTTGATAATGCAAAAAGCTGAGAGTGCATGCCATTTTGATCACGATTAAAATTAGGTCCAAGCCTTTCCATCAATGCAACAAAGCACCAAAATGATTCTGACTCATCCCTCATTACAAACAATATGGGGGATAGAAGATCGCTCATGCCCTGCACAACAGGAAGACAAACATGTTCTTCAACTGGAAAATAACGTAATAAAACATCCCACGTCTTGTACATTTTCTGAAAATAACTCCTTAGCAAAATGTATTAGATCATAAAGAAGCACTATGGCAGCTACTAATACCATCCCCCCAACATAGCAGTAATAAATATTACTATTTGAAGAAAACAGCTTACAATCAGTTAGAATTTTGGAGGACAGATGCAGTAATAGACGGTAAACTAAACCACATGATATACCAATCCTAAATACAAAATATTTTACTTTTAGTATATTAGCACCATTGGTAATAATAAATATTATTCGAGACACATGGCTATCCAGTATAAAGAGGGATAAATGCGACTATGAAAATGATCAAAATAAAATTCCAGTCAAACACAAGAAAATCTATATTAAACCTAAAGAGAATCCGAAATCCATGTAATTTTGACCTTGCCATTTGATGTAAAGCAGTCGAAGTGACAAGGGAAGATTAGGATTATACCTGGAGCTCATTTAGATTTTGTTATTATTCCCTTACTGCCAAGTTTATTATCATGTTATGGGTCATAAAGATGATAGATAGCTAGATAAACCTTTTTGGAACAGTACCAAGCCTACCAATTTGTAATTTGCAAGGGTGTAAATGATTTCTGGTAACATTGCTCACACCCAAGAAGATGCACCACACATCAATAACTGAACATAGGTTCCTCACTCAGAGCATGCTACTGCAGGAATATGATAGAACTTCAATATTGAAAAGTGAGAATTGCTCAATTTCATAGCTAATCACACATTTACAGTATAAAATTCAGGACATTCAAAAGGTCCTGGGCTCTCCCTACTGAATTCTTTACAAAAACATACCTTCCTCCCTCTTATCCCCGACTAAAAGAAAACCAACAATACAACAGAAAACCTCCCTAACAAAAACTAACTACATACACAACTAACAATACAACTACAACCTCTTAACCTACACCACATTCTTCTTTCTTCTACTATACACAAATTTTATTGGAGGTTTCCTAACAATACTCCCGCCAAAAGTTTCACCTTGTCCTCAAGGTGAAAGTTATGAAATTGCCTCTGTAGGGTTGTCAGGGATTCCCAGAAATTCTCACAATCAGGGAGGTCTTGCCATTGTATCAAAACTTCTTGAAAACCAGAAGAGTTAGTTCTTATGTCTAAAACTTGAGCTGGTGAAACTTGTAACTCCATTTCTTCAAATAACATAGGTGGTAATGGCTACGAAGGTACTGTAAAATCAACAACTTTATTCAAAAGAGATACATGAAAAACAAGATAAATCTTACTACCATCAAGTAAGTAGAACTTACAAGCAACCTGTCCAATTCTTTAAATAACTTGAAAAGGGCCATAAACTCTAGGACTTAACTTTTCATTTCTCCTTTTAGCCAAAGACTTGAGTCTATATGGTTGTGACTTGAGCAAAACCCGATCACCAACTTGAAATTCAACCTCTCTTCTATGTTTATGAGCTTGAGATTTCATTCTATGTTGAGCTATTACCAAGTTATCCTTCAATACTGCTAACATCTCATCCCTTTCAACTGCCATTCTATTAACTTCCTCCACTATTGAAAGTATAGAAATACCTTTAAATAAAGTGGGAGGATCTCAACCATATAGAGCTTTAAAAGGAGTGAATTGAATAGATCCATGATAGATAACATTATGCCAAAATTCAGCCCAAGATAACCATTTTGGCCATTGCTTAGGTTAGTCATTGGTGAAACATCTCAAATAAGTTTCTAAGCATCTATTGACTACCTCAGTTTGGCCATTAGGTTAAGGGTGATAAGCTGAACTAAACTTGAGTTTAGTCCCTGCCAACTGAAACAATTCAGTCCAAAAATGGCTAAGAAAAACTGTCTCTCTATCAGAAATGATCGAAGTTGGAAATTCATGCAACCGAACTACTTTTAGAAAAATTTCAGCGACGTCCTTTGCTGTAAATGGATGATTGAGAGCTATAAAATGAGCATACTTGGTCGATCTAGCAACTACAACCAAAATCGTACTCTTACCATTAGCCTTAGGCAAGCCTTCAATGAAATCCATAAAAATATCAAACCACATATGATTTGGAACTAGCAAAGGTTGCAAAAGGCCAGCAAGAGATAAAGTCTAAGTTTTGTTGCACTGACAAACATCACAAGTTATAACAAATTGTTGTATATCCTTCTTCATTCCCATCCAACAAAATAACCCTGAGTGTTTGTAAGTTCTGAAAAATCCAGACTGTCCCCCAAAAGCAGAACTATGAAATTCTGAAAGAATTAAAGGAATTTTAGAAAATTTCATTGCTAAGACCAACCTCCCCTTATACAATAGCCTGCTATCTTGTAACTCATACCCTTCTTGAGCTTTAGAATTTACAACCACATCTTGCATTATCTTCTTAATCTACTCATTTTTTGTATTTCATCAACCAATGTAATCAAATAGCGGCCATGGAGGCGCCATGGCGGATGGCAGTGGCGGAATTCCAAAATTCCGCCACAGCGCCATCTGCAATAAAGCTATTTCAAATAGCGGCACCATGGCGCCCGCCATGCTCGTGGCGTCGTTGCGTCATGGCAGCGCCATAGCTGTAATCAGTGCCTTGCTTCTGGCCCGTGGGCCTCGACTAGCCCAAGCATCTCTGTGAACGTCTCCGTGAAGTGGGCTAGGGCTTGGGCTGGAGCTCCTACGAAGATGATCGTGTTTCGCGCGCAAACATTGCAGTGAACAGCAAACTTTGCAGAGACGATCAACAGAGACCATCGTGAGCTAGACCATCGCGAGCCAGACCATCGCGAGCCAGCGACGCGAGCCAGACCATCACCAGCCAGAGACGCGAGCCAAAGCCAGAGACACGAGCCACAGACCAGAGACACGAGCCACAGACCATCCAAGCCAGAACATCGTGAGCCAGAGACGCGAGCCACAAACCATTCGAGCCAGACCATCGCGAGCCAGAGACGCGAGCCACAAACCATCCGAGCCAGACCATCGCGAGCCAGAGACGCAAGCCATAGACCATCCGAGCCAGACCATCAAGAGCCAGAGACGCGAGCCAAACCATCCGAGCTAGACCATCGCAAGTCAGACTTTGCAGTTCAACTTCAAGCCGACGAAGACGATCGATAGCTGACTGAAATCAATAGGCAAAGGCGACTGCTGAGACCCGAACTGCGTAATATATATGTATATATATATTTTTTAAGAGTATACTCCTCTCTGATGCTGCGTAGGAGCATGTAGATTTTTTTTTTTTTATTTAGTTATCAGTAATTGCCTAGCCTGCTGCTGTGTAGGACAACTGAATTTTGTTTTTTTTTTTTTTTAGGTGAAATATGACAATTGTTGGTTCTTCACAAGCCTCATCTGCTGCATTTGCTCCTCCCAGCAATAGTAATAGGAGTGATCCTGGATGGAAGTATTGTCATCCTTTGAAAGAGGGTGACACAAATATTGTTATTTGCAATTTTTGTGAAAAAGTTACAAAGGGAGGGATTACTAGAGCAAAGTATTATTTAATGGGAAAAAAGGGTAATGTTGCAGCTTGTTCTAAGTGCCCAAAGCAAGTTAGAGAAGAGTTGTGGAGTTATTTTAGAGAAAAAGATAAGAGCTATCAAGAAAAGGAAATGGAAAGTGGAGGAGCTAGTATTGATTTGGAGAGTCTAGGATATGGTTACGATGAAGAAGAAGAGGGTCTAAAAGAGGTGATAAGGGCTAAGAAGAAGGCCAAGACCATAGATAGAAGCAATAGTATAAAAGGTCCTATGGATTTATACATGTTTTAGTAGCCAGAATCCATTATTGCAAAAAGAAAAAAGGAGAAAATGAGACATCAGTTATAAGAGAAGCAAGTGACAAGGAAGCAAGAGAGAGTAAATCAATACATTGCTAGATGATTTTATCAAGCTGGAATTTCATTCAATGCAGTCAAATTGAAGAGTTTTCATCGTATGATTGAAGCCATTGGAGCCTATGGTCAAGGTTTAAGAGGGCCAACTTATCATGAGATAAAGGTTCCACTCCTCAAAAAGGAGGTGGCACATACCGAACAATTGATGTCCGGTCACAAGTTGCAATGGGGAAAACATGGATGCTCTATTATGTCAGATAGATGGACTGATAGGAAGTAAAGAGGGTTGATCAATTTCTTGGTGAACTCTCCAGCCGGAACAATGTTTGTAAAATCCGTTGATGCATCAAAGTATACAAAGACCGGTGAGAAGATATTTGAGTATCTTGATGCTCTTATTGATGAGATTGGTGAGGAGAAGGTGGTTCAAGTGATAACCGACAATGGAAGTAATTATGTCTTGGCTGAAAAATTGTTGGAAGATAAAAGGAATCATCTTTATTGGACTCCTTGTGCCGCTCATTGTATAGATCTCATGTTGGAAGATATTGGAAAAATTCCCGAAGTGAAGAAAACAATACAAAGGGCTATTACTCTTGTTGGATTCATTTACAATCATTCAATTGCCTTGAACTTGATGAGAAGCTTCACAAATAAAAGAGAGTTGGTTAGGCATGCTATCACTCGGTTTGCTATAAGCTTTCTTACATTGGAGAGGCTTTACCAAGAAAAGGAGAACATTAAAAGAATGTTCTTTTCAGAGCAATGGGAAAAATGTAATTTGGCTAAGGATTCTAAAGGGAAAGAGGTGGCAAAGATTGCATTGATGCCTAGTTTTTGGCCTAAGGTTGTTTATGCTCTTAAAGTGATGGGACCTCTTGTTAAAGTCCTTAGACTTGTTGATAGTGAAAAAAAACCAGCAATGGGCTATATTTATAAAGCAATGGACAAGGCTAAGGAAGCTATCATGAAGTCTTTTAAAGAAAATGAGAAGAAGTACAAAGAGGTATTTGAAATAATTGATAAGAGATGGAATTGTCAGCTTCACCGCCCATTGCACGCTGTTGGTCATTTTCTAAATCCTGAATATTTCTATGACTATCCGAGTATTGAATTTGATTTTGAGATTACCTCAGGGATGTATCAATGCCTTAGGAGGTTGTGCCTAATGAAGATGTGCAGCAGAAAATTCTT